TCCTGCCCTCCTCGCTGGCGGTTTTGTCGGAGCCTGTGACCGAGAGGCAGCAGTCGTTGACAAAACCGAAGGAGCAGCGGGCTATGTGACCACTGGACGCCGAAGGATTCATGTGGCCAACACTAGATGAGTTCTGGACTTCCCAACAGCAACACCAGACGATCGCAGGTGCTATACCCGACAAGGACAAGGTGTTGGGACTTGACCAGCGCATTTGGGTTCCTCGAGCATATACAGACCTCATTCAGCGACGCTGTGTGATCGCCCATTGCGGGGACCAAGGCCACCGCGGCGAACAGGAAATGGTTAATCACTTACGCCGAGTTTTCCACATCCCCGACCTTCGGAACGTCGTGCACACATTCGTGACGACGTGCATATTGTGTCCGCATGTGAAGGGAGGAAAGGTGATACGTAGGCCGTGGAGCGAAACTATTGAGTGCAAAGAACGAAATGGAGTCCTACATTGGGATTTTCTGTCGTTAGGTGAATCTTTCGGCGACAGTAAGTGCCTCCTAGTGCTGAAGGATCATGCAACACACTTTGCGAGTTGGTGGTTGGCGACACAGCGGACAGCGCTGTCGCCACCGCAGCCATCCTCGATTGTCATAGCCGATTCGGAGCGCCACCAATGTGGGTTAGCGACAACGGCAGCCACTTCAAAAACGAAGTCGTGGCGGAACTTTCGAGAAGGTTAATAATAAGCCAACAACACTTTACTTTGGCGTACAGCCCCTGGATCAACGGATCCGTTGAGCGTGTCAACCGTAATCCTAGAGCACGTGGCTTCCCAGGGCATCCTCCTGGCCGTAAATGAGTTAAAAAAAACATCGTTGGAACTCCTCCATCAAGGACTATGAAGTTCTAGTAAGCTCGAAAGGCTTAGAATCTGTAGAAGACTCGTGGGAACCGCTCAAATCCCTGGCTAAAGAAGTTAGGGTTCTCCTTGACCAATACATTCCGAACCAGGATGCTAAAGTACGCAAGTACTGGAAGGACCACCAGTAAAAGTTTCAATCAAAACGATTGCGTAGTTTTGTCAAGATCCTTAAAGTTCTGTTTTCTGCTATTTGACCAATGTATCATGTAGACATTTCCTGTGCAAATATGTTGCACCAACTTTCATATCAATCAATGCAATATTGGCTTCAATATAATTTGTTGCAAATCCCCTTCAACATGTTGCACTAGTTATGGTTATGACCGGGACATTTCAATCAACGACTAGTGAAATTCCCACCCCTAGGACGAACCGAACCTGAACCACGGTTCTACTGTTTTTTACGAACCCGAACTGGGCAGGGAGCCCAGTTCCCGCAAAAAGTCACTGAACCGAACCTGGGAGAGAACTCGGTTCGTTCCATCAATCATCGCCTCTCATTGGTTCAAGTTAGCGCATTTCATTGGCCAAAACTATTAGAATAGTTATTCTGGCTACCTAAGATTTAGGCCTGCGCTTCCAGCATTTTACAACTTCAACTCGAGTTTTACAGCCGGTGGATGACCACCATGACCTCCCGACCATCGAGCTGCCGGAACACGATCGTGTCGATGGTGAACGCCTTGGGCGGGCTCTTGCCCATGTGTCTGCACAAACGAACGGTATCGCAGAGCATCAGGCCGAGCTCCAGCATCGACAGTCTCGGCACGAAGAAGAGCAGCAGCGATTCGTCGAGCAACGTGTCGCGGCTGCCCGAGGAGAGGCAGAGGCCCGGTGCAACGCGCTTGTATTCGCCATCCAGCAGACTTACGGCGACCCGTTGGCTCTGGAGCATCGTGTTGACGCTTGTATTCAGGACGTCTTCCAGCAGCTTCAACATGGAGCTCAGCAACAGGCTCGAGCATTTGCAGAGGCCCAGATTGCAGACCAATTTGCGCTGAGCCAGCTGGTGGAGCGGCGCATGCACGCTGCCGTGCTAGACATGGAGCAGGAGATCAACCTGCGGGTTGAAAAACATCTTCAGGGCCTGCGCCGCGATATCGCTGACTATGTGATAGACCAGCTCAAATTGGCAGTACAACGCGCTGACGACAACACGCGAACACTCATGAACGACGAGCTACAAGATCAACAAAACATGCAGCAAGCGTCCATCGCGCGCTCATTGCTGAGTTGGTTCGAGGCATCATTCACCAACACGACAGCGCAGTGAGGGTGCGCCAACAGCAGGAGTGTGATGTCCGCAACGACCACATTGAGGGATGGCTTCACCAAGTGGTTGCTGTTGCCGAAACGGCTGCTGAATCGAGGGCTCGCGAGGTGATGGCACAAAGGTCGAATGCGCCTGGTCCAGCATCTACAAGCACATCGACGGCAATATCACGACAACTCCCGCCAGCCGACAGAGTTAGTAGGTCGGGAACGCCCACCAAGCCAAAATCAAAGCCTCCGCACCACTCAGAACGCAAGAATCGATCCAAGACGGATCAAATTCGACATGATGAGTGCAAGGCTCGGACTAACGTAGATCGAATTCGACACGAAGCCTAAGAAGCTGTACGAACTCGCGCTGCCACACGAGCAGCGGAATTGCTGGCACCAACAAAACAATGAAGAGTAAGCGCCTACTCCGTTCATAGTCAGAATCGCACGTATTAATGAACTTATACACGAACATCCCAGCTCGTTCTTGATGTGGCTAGCCTTCAGTGCCTTCCTCATTGTCAGAGAGCCCCAGATCCATACTCGCAGCGGAGAACATGTTCTGCAAAGAGCCAAACTCGTCATCTAGGTCCTGGGTCATGTTCACCAACACATTCGAAGGCAGCCGCTTCGCTGCTGCGTTAGTAGAAAGCTTCGTGCACTGCGTGATATCCACGTAGTCTCTGTTGCAATTTAAAATTGTGGCCATATCGACGTAATACGGCGACAGTGAGCTGCGTTGTGGGGTCCCCATTCTTCCGGCTGTCTCGAAATCGCGCTCAATTTGTGACGACGAGGAGGGCATTGAGAACAGGACGCGCGCAACAAGAGACAGATGCCGAAAATTGCCTTGGTCATGTTGACGCTTCCAGAAGCTCAGGACGGGCTCAAACTCACCGGGACGTATTACTTTCAGCGAAGTAGGGGTCGAAAGCCAACGGTCGAGCTCTTCGTCAATGCGCTGCTCGTGCATTGCCGTATGTGTGTCGACAGGCGGTGGTGCCACCTCATTTGCCGTTTCTGCAAATAACTCCATGAGATACCCTGAAAGCACCGCTACTGGAGGCGGAGCAACGATTCCGGGAGGTGTTGGCTGAGTGTCCACTGCCTCCATAATTCTGCGGACACCGTCGATGATCTTACGGCGAACCTTAATGAAGTGGCGATCTGCCACCTGTTGCGATGCGCCGGCTTGCAAATTAGACATTAGAATTACCTTCTTTAGCGCTCCGACTGGATTCTTGAAGTTAGGGTGAAGAAGTAGCTGCATCTCGAACCCGTAGGAGCATGAATTCATTACCTCGCGGTCAGTGTATCGCCGGAAAAAGACACGATGAAAAGCTTTATGGAGAAGTTCCCGAGTTGTTGTCGCCAGATTGGACAGCTCTTCCGGCCTAAAGAAGCGTCTCTCCGTCTTGGTCGATCAACAGTCTCTTAAGGGGGTCGTGACGTCCAACAACGAGATTCGGAGCTTGTACAGACCGAGGAGAACGTCGCACTGGTTTCCTGATTCGGATTGCCCGATGTGGTTAATCACTGAAATCGGCTCAAGCAGAGAAAGAACCTGTATCAGTTCCATCTTCTCTCGAGCCAAAGGGAAGGTGCCATATTCTCTCGCCGGGCTTTGGCAGTCCGTTCTTCATACCATGCGGCCAGTGGACAGAGTAGGAGTATACGTCGGAAAACGCGAGCAAGTCCCAAAAAAAGATGAATCTTGAAGTTGAGAAGTTGGCGCGCGTTCACATCCTCGTCGGTCATAACACTGCAAAGCTCCGAAAAGAGAGTGCCCATCACTACCACATGATGTGTCTGGTACACCGTTTTGACGATGCGTCGAAGCATGTCCGTCATCGCTGGGTTCTTCGATGAACCGCTCTCCGCAACGATGCCAAATGCGGTCTTGGTCGCCGCATGTGTAAAGTGCGGTACGCACCATTCCCAGCCCAATTTGAGCCCTGACCTCATCATCCATTTGACATCGGGTCCATCGTCGCTGGTAGACCCAAAGAGGTCGTGACGACTAAGTCTAAAGTCCTCTAATACATCCCCAATCCAGCGATAGAATGGACCTCGCATTCCGCCATCACGTTCGCCATACTGCGGGGCAAAATGTTGGGTCCCTAGTAACACGGATTTGAACCGGTACGACGAGTCCACTAGATAGAGTCTCAATCCCAAAAAATTGGTATTCATCGCGGACGCCGTCCTGAAGTCTGCAACGACAGAATAGCTTTTTGCTGAACCGATCCTGCTTTCTGTCAGCATCGCTTGGACTTGACGCTTTGTCGCATCGTAGAGTTCCACGACAGAATGGCGGATGACCTTGGCGTTTAATGCTACACGAGCCTCCTCCTTGAGCATTAAGTCGCGGATTATCAGCGACTTTTCGTACTCTCCAATTCTGAATGGAAGGTTGTTGTTCACGATGCGCAGTGTCTCCAGTAAGACGAACGCGCGGCCAGGATCATCGCGGAGTGGACTCCTCTTCAAAACGGCAAGATCTTCGTCGCGGGTTCTTTTCCTGCCCTCCTCGCTGGCGGTTTTGTCGGAGCCAACGTCGTGTGCCTTGCTTAGATGAAGCGTCACTTTTGACGTCTTCCCACCTGACATCACGATCTTTAAACGCTGAGTGCGGCAAGTCTCGGCTGCCATGCACATCCACACAGCAAGTGCGTGTTGGTGTCGGCCGTGCTGCCGACGCGGACACCCCAGTAGTAGACGAACGACGTCTCACTCGGCTTGGCGCGTAATATCTTCGTTCCAGCTTCGGGGACAAAGGCCTGGATGGCCTCCCGTACAGCGATCGGGATACTGGCTTCGTCGCGACGCCTTCTTCGCTCGGGGTCCATGAGCATCTGCTGAAGATCGCGAAGTGAAAGCAGGATGCAAATAGCGTTTTAAAGCGCCTGTCAGCGCAAAAACAATTGCCAAAACGCACCATAAATTAGCCAATGAAGTACGCCAAACTGGAGAACCCTCGCCCGCTCCCATATCAATGGGTTCAGGCTCCCTTTACTTATGGGAGGAACTTTCAAACGGGTTCATTCCCGACGTTAAATACGGGCAAGAATGGAATTTTTCAGATTACCAGCTCCGAACTGAAGTTGGAATCGTTACTGAATCTTTTCGACTCGTACCCATTTGGTTTGTCCCAGGGGTGGAAATTCCGTTACAGAAATGTGAAATATCGAATGTCGCATGCAATTACGCCATAATTACGAAAACATCATGTCACAATGGCGATACTGATAAAACGCTTACATAACTGCCTCCAAGTGGCTTGGAGGGGCAGTGTAGTGCAGGCTACGCATGCATATACAATGTAAGTACCAGCCAGCTCCAGATACGAGTTGCAGTCAGGTGAAACGAATCGTCTAAGGCTGCGCCTGCGTGTCGACAATTGCTGTTGACAAGTGGATGTGCATAACGACAATGCTATCTACAGGATCGGCGTAAATCGACAACTGTGATGACACCCTAAGTTCATAACGACAATGGTGTTGACACGAACGGCGTCCAACCAAAGGGCGGAACACCCCAAAAGCGCATCCGGTGCCAACTAGAGTAGCAAGTACATGTAGCAGAGACTCACTTTACCTTTTGCCAAGAAATACACTTCTCCCACTGGTGCGACAGTCTGTCAAAACCCGTGCGAATTGGTGAGAATCGTACTTAATCCAATCCGTGAGCTCCTCGTTTGCACCGCCAATTTCGCTGCGCTCATGGCGGGCAAGGCGTCGATAAAAAGATATTAGCTCCCTGTTTCGGAATCTACTCCGGCCTACGCGCCGTCCCCTGACAGACCTCCGCTACGCTCCGGTTGTCAAGGCGCCTCTCTAAGGCCTCTATGATTTATGTTAGGTTGGAGTTTTCGCACCTATCGAAAGAAGTGCTACTTCGGCATACCTTTAGGGAGCTTCGCCGGCTCCCCCATCCGTGTCTTCATTCTGCAGACACTACAATTACGCAAGTAAATGCTCTCTCTTCTCGATATAAGCAAGGTGTTCGTACACTCTGGGGAATTTCTTCGCGTCGGGTACGATACCAATCCGTGGTGTGGTGGTCTTCAGTGTTGTCTTGTTATGCCTGGACGACGACAGTGCAACTGTGCTACTTGCGGTGAGGAAGGGGCGCATTGTGGTATCAGATCAATTTGCAACGAGCATGTATGCTCGTGGGGCAGGAGAGAGACATAAAATGAGAATAGTTTATTGGAACTGTTTATTGCAGCTCCATGGTTCTGTAACGGGCTAAGACCGTTACCGACGTACACTAGCGAACTGGGAAGGTGTTGGTATATTGAACTCTGAAGGTTAACTATCAAGACGGCCTCAGCACACGAGGCCGTCACAACCAGTGGATACGTACATAGTTCTGATTGGCCACCGCGATGGAGCGGTGGCGGCTTTGTGTGACAGTAGCCTGTCACAGTGCTGATGAAAAAGCTATCCACGACTGGACACATCAGCACAACGATAATGTATCTTGGTGTCGGTCTCGGT